ATTTTTTTTATTGTACTGTATATCTAACTGGATAATGTTAAAACGTAGTATTATATAGTCATCATAGTTTTAAAAGCATACCAAGACAAACATAATAGATAATCAAAATGATATTTAAAAAAAAATCATCATAAACCAGCAAATCTGAATTTTCATTATCATCCTAATCATCATCCAGCAATCGACCGATAATGTCAGTTTTATGAATAACAAAGACTGGAAGCTTATCAAGGCTCGGGCATATTCAGTGTTTTATCATTATCTTTTCAATATTATTTTCTATAGCTAATCAACTGTAAATAAACAAATTTCCGTTTATCTTCCCATGACACCCCACCTAAAACTGTTCTCTCTTGAGAACTACTAGTAGAGCACCAATCAACACAAAGCCTGGAAGCTTATACAGGCCCGGGGCTTGTTGTAATGTACCATGCACCAATATTTCTCCCTTCTTTTCTATGCTTCCCCCCTTTTTTGGGTGGAAAGGGCCTATCTGATCAAAGCTACCTACAAAAACAAGGAAAGCTTTTTTGAACCTTTAAGGCCATTGTTAAACAATGGGTGTAGCCTACATATAGCAAATGTTTCTTTAAATAATATAATAACAATATATAATAGTATAGACCAGTTTTGCGAACTGTCAAAATGTTAGTATTATAAAATATTAAACATAATTTATTACTTGCATTACAGGCTACATTATCATTTTCAAGTGTACCTTGTAAACCTGAAACAAATTGGAATGCCTCACAATTTTGTATGATCATTTATAACACTACCAGATCGTGAAGAATGTTCTTTAGGTCTAGTTATTTGGCATTTTCAGTCTTACCAATCAGGGGCGGACCCAGAGATGTCCAAAAATTGGGGCCGAAAGTTGGGTCGATCGAAACAACACTGTGCTCTGGGATCCGGGGCATTCCCCCGCAAAATTGTTGTGTTCTAGACGCCCGAAAATAACATTTGAGGCGTTCTGGGCTATCATTTTTTTTCTTTTTCTTTCTTTTTTCCCCCTTTTTTTACCTCCTAAAAAGGGGGGAGGGCGCGGGGCCGGGTCGGCTACCCCTAAATCCGCCCCTGTCAATATAATCACTATTAAAAGCTGGACATTTAAAATGATAAACAACAGAGCTCCTATACAGTCTCCTTTGGGTTATATTTTATTAGTAGATATAAAATGAGAATCATTACTTTCTTTATTTTTTTAGGCATCTACGTAAAATGGATTCACCTGTTTTTCCTAGATAAGGCAATCTAATCTTAATCAAGCTATCATCAGTAGGCCTATGTATGCATTTAGGTTCATTTAATTTACTGAGTACATGGTTAACAACATTAAAAGGGTACCCATTCCACAACATAAATTTTCTGTTTATCAGGAGTACACAGTTTATGGTCTCTTGCAACTAACTACAAATTCAAGAAATCTTATGGTTCCATGGAGCAAAGCTATCATAATGGATATATTGACCTGTATGTGTATTTCTACGATATATACTCATGCTTCCTACTTCCTTAATCCAGCTTCTTTAATTCAGCATAAACGTTTTCTTCAGTTGGAAGAAGTCCAATATAATCACCATCATCCTTCTTCAACTCGGCAACACCCTCAAACTCATCACTGCTAGCTTCATATGTGGCTGCTCTCTCGCTAGATGCAATGGTCTTGTCTTTGCATCTGTAATTTAAACATGCCAACGATTACTTTCAGCTGATATATTATTCACAATTTCAGACAGAAAATATAGAAAAACTACACAAAATTAAAACTTCTATTTATTTACATTGTCAGTTAACAAATACATTATTAGGTTATCAAAATATACAAAGTAAGCATATTTAATTTTCCAAGTTTAAGTAGTGGGTTATATTAATTAAAAACCAAAAACAACTTACCTTCTCTCAATGACTTCATAAATATGCTGTTCACATGGAAGTTGTTTCTGATTACCACCATCTTTAATTATCATGTTCATTTTCGCAAGTTCCACAACGTCCTCATCTGCAGAATCCATAGCGGCTGCACACTTGGGTGTGACTGAAGAAGTTGTATTACTGTGCCGTAAAAAAAAAAGATTATAAATAGTTACGATTGAACTAACAATAATCACTCAAAAAGCTGATCCAATTCATTTTCCACTTTTTCTCGTGAGTTTACCTATTGTTCATTTCAGTATATACGCGTTGCCTCGGTCCCATAATACTGTTATGAAAAGCGAAGTGTTGGACTTCTGAACGTCTTTTAACATTCCTAACTCCTGTGTCGATAACAAAAGGCTTTGCTTGGCTTTTCTTGTATCTGAAAAGTAAAATTGGGGATCGTTTGTGGCACAAATTTACGGTTTAGACCTGAACACCGCGATGATGTATTACAGTCAAAGTGACACTGAATTAAGGTACACTGTAACCTAATATCGTTCTAATGTGAAGACATTTTGCATTCTCGGAACTTATTTCTGCTATTTATCTTAATAATTGCCACTCAACTTGGCAGTCAAAAGTTTCCATTTTAGTGGCTCACTACTATCGACTTTACAATAGTTTAGATATAGGCATATATTTATTTATGTTACATGTAAATTTGGTAGGAGCTGTTACTGTTTCGTTCTCAATCGTGAGAGTGAAGGAAATTGATTATAATCAGATTCGAATTCTGGAAGCACATTATTTTCTTTGGGTAAGAAAAGTACTTTTAAGCAGGAGACTAGAATTTGATGGAATTTCTTACTTTACAGAATTCTAAATTTTCAAAGATTGACATTTCGAATTACATCAAATTAGTTCAGTTGATCTCTTTACAGAATCGGCTTGTTAAAGGTGGTTTTTGTTAGTGATATTCAATAGGCTTATATGAAATGGTGAACTCACTTAAATATAACAAGAATCAAAGTGACGCATAAAATAAAGGCAATCAATAAACCCATGTAAGCCAGCCATTCATTAGACCTCTCACCTTGAAGAAAAATTGATTACATAGATGCATTAACACACACATATATAAATAAAAAAAAACAAACCAACAAGAAAATCTTTAACATTGGTGGTGTACTTTACCGTACCTTCCGTTTATGGTTTTTACAGTCGCTTGATGCGTTCTTAACAAGTAAGCTAACGCTTAGCATTAGAAATGTACTGTGTTCAGATGTATTATTATCTTAATTATAATTTGTGTAATAGGCTAGTATACCCTTTCCGAAACTCACCATTTACATCATTTGCATATGCCTCAACCATGACTATAATCTCATCCGAGTAGTTACCGACCATATCACCCAAAATCATAGCCACCTGAAATTAAATAAATTGTAAAGGAATGTAAAATTATATTAACACTTATCTAAATCATGTACAGTATGATACCATAAGCAAATTATACAAATAAACATTAAGATTAAGTATAGCTCCTTTGTATTAGGCGTATGATTTGCTACACTGAACTGAAACATTAAAATAAGCCTATGTGTTCACCTGAAATATATATTCCATGTTTGGTTGGACAGTAACTTGAAGAAAATCCACCTGCGTAGCATTGGTTGTCACTGATATTGTTGTATTACCAAACTTAAGCACAATGTGATATAGAATGTCAAAGCACTGTTCATCATCTGGTGAAGACCATCTTGCTGATATATATGAAGAAGCCATGACGGATATATTTTCAGGTACATAAGAAGCTAACGATAGAAGTTTATGATAGAAGTTTACAATTATATGCGCTCGTATTTACTTTGCAGTATCGATAGTAATCTAGTCGTGGTCTGGAAAGAGCGTTTATGAGATACAAGAATGGGGATTATTGTGTTGATTCAAAATTTTTGAATAGCAATCATAGACTAAATAGGCCTAAATGAAATATAATCAACTGTCGGCCTACATCAATGTATTATCAGACAACATTCAAATAACACATATTTTTATTTAAAAGAAAATCATGTATTATCGCTAATGGGATTTGATCACATAAATAACCTATTATAGTTATTTTTGTTAATTTGTAAATGAATTCATCATTGCGTGAGAATTTGCAACATTTTATGTATGATTAAATCATCTTGACTCTTGTGAGGACGGGAAGCTACCGTTATGAAGATGTTGTTTATTGACTCTTTATAAGCCTATATATTTTAAATGGTCAGTCTATTTGATATAAGTTGTTATACAGTATATCATACCCTCTTTAACTGGCCAAATTGTAACAGGCTGACTCCACGCACTAGAGTAATTTGCGTTGTTTACAACTCTCGCATCCACCAGATATTCAGAACATTTTTCCAGTCCTGGTATCACTACGCGACTGCCCTTGACATTGGTCATGCTGTGTATGCTGTAACCAGTGTAACCATGGGTGGTATTCCTGGTGTTGTTGTTGGTGTCATTGGTAATCTTACTTGGTGATCTGCACCTGACTTGGTAATACAGAATCTTGACACAAAGTATGCGACCTGGGTCGTCATTTACTTCCTAGAAGAGGCATTTTAAACAGCTAACTAAAGTAGGCTAAGAAAGTATAACACATGCTCCAAGAACTGAAATGCATGCCATCGTGTTGGGATTCAATATTTTAACATCATCGGGAATCATTATCAGGAATTTCTTATATAGAGAATTATTTTCATAAAAAAAAAAATGCATTCGAATTGCTCTAAGTTTGCAGAATTTCAAACAATGATTTTGAAATAAAAAAGCAAGTGTGTACCATGTTACAGGTCCATTCCAAATTATCACCACTGAACATGAGGAATATTTTAGGTGTTGCAAGATAATGTTCTCAGTAACCACTGTGACCGGAATGTGATTTGCATACACATTTTCAAACACAACAAGCAGACAATTTAATTACATAAGGTTTCATATTGGTCTTTCTGATTTCCAGTAACCCATCATCTTTTTTGTCATCAATCATTCAAGTAATCATTTGATAGAAATAATTATCGTACCTGTAATTCTACAACAACTTTACTTTCTTTCCTTGATATGATTGTTGGAGATGGAATGTCCGAAGGTGCTAAAGGAAAGCATAACAAAGTATTTTATTAATATTAATATTGTTAGTTACAGATACAGGCCTACATTATTTGTTTACTTATATTAAAAAACATATAACATACAGTTTGTTTATTAATGAGCATTCATAGTTACAAACTACATGATGGGAATGACATCCAATAGAATGGAAATAATTTTGATAGTATAATACATACTTCAAGTATCAAAATGACTGCCATCGTGTTGGGATTCAATATTTCGACATTAATTATGTCATCATCAGGAAATGCACGCCATCGTGTCGGGATTCAATATTTTTACATTAATTATGTCATCATCAAGATACTTGTAGTATGTATTATACTAACTTATCTGAGATTAATCAGTGCACCTTCCGGTTTTTGGAAACAATTTAAGTTACATTAAACAACAATTTGACTTATTATGTTTTGAGTACTTGGAATATGTGGTGGTTATATTTTCCTTACAGATGTATAATAATTCGCTAATATAATTCAACTAAAGTGTAACAAACCTTCCCAATGCGTGAGAAACAATTTGTTTAATACACTATATGTAATTTTACAAGTTACACTATTCCTATGTGTGATGAACCTAATATTTTATTTGAAAAGAGTAGAATACAAACTTTAAAATATGTGAAAGAATGTTACAGTATAACAAAGTCATACAACAATCCCTCTAAATTTCCAAATATAGTGTGATTATAAAAACCTGCTTACAAAAATAACTTAGAAAACAAAAGTAGGGGTTAATTAAGTTTATTTTGCTACACATTATATTTCGAAAATTTCCAATTATAATGTAATTATAAAAACCTGTTTACAAAAATAACTTCGAAATCAAAAGTGAGAGTTATGTTTATTTTGTTACACATTATATTTCGATACAAATATAAACTATCAATTTTCTATAATGAAATCATGTATAATGTAGAGGCGTATGTAAGGTCATTCAGTCAGTCAATGATTATAATTTGTTTTGTTTTCTGGGATTGTTTAATGGGAATTTTATGTAAGCTGTAGGCCTACTGTTGCAAAAATATAAGGTTTGAACACTTGATGCATTTTGTGTAGCACAATTTATTTTCATAAATCATCAACATTGTTAGATATCTTACCCTCTTTAACTGGCCAAATCAAAACAGGCTGACTCCACGCACTAGCGTACTTTGCGCTGTTTACAACTCTCGCATCCACCAGATATTCAAAACATTTTTCCAGTCCTGGTATCACTACGCGACTACTGCCATTGACATTGGTCGTGCTGTGTACGTTGTAACCAGAGTTATCGACGATAATGGTTGCGTTGCTGTTACTATTGGTGTTGGTGTCATTGGTAATTTCATTTGATAACCTGCACCTGACTTGGTAATACAAAATCCTATCACACTGTATGCGACTTGGATTGTTATTTACTTCCTAAGAGAAAGGTCATAACATTGTGTAAAACTAAGCACAATAAGTCACCCGCATCTAGTATTTCAAACATAACAACAAAATAATATAATGATGATATTGATGACAACGACGATAAAATAATGCAGATAACAAAATTAAAAAAAACAATAGGCCGATTTCATATCATCATAATCATAATAATCATCATTAGTAATGCCTATTTTTTGAGACGCAACGCTTTTCACTACTGTGTACAATTTGCTTCTATCAGGGGCAGTTTTTTGTCTATGACATTTTCAAGTACTAATTGCAACCCTAACATAATCATAATGATAAAGATATTTATTATTATTATAATAATAAATATATTAATACAATATTGTTATTGTATTAATATATTTATTATAATAATAAATATATTAATACAATGATATTGATAATAATAACAATAATTTTAACCAAAATCAAATGAAAATGGTAGGACTTAGTAATTCAGTTAATTCTCCTTTTGTAAAACAATACCAATTATTTTGCATCAAACATAATTGCTAACTTCAAGATTTTACATCTCATTTTAACATTAGAGTCATAAAAAATAATATTTTAATAGAAACCGTATCACCTGAACTTTTATTACAGCATTAGTTTCTGTCCTTGACAATAGGTTTAAAGAAGGAGTGTCCAACGGTTCTAAAAAAAGAAGTGAAAACAAAAATCACACTATGTATGGTCAAACATATGAACTGCCTGATTTGCTTAACTCAATAATCTACAAGATTTCAAATGATAATCCTATACCAATTAACATAATGTTAAACAATTGAATCACAGGAAAATTGCATTTCTGAGTTGCATGCTTGAATGAAACAAGATTTTATAATATTGAATGATAATAAACATATTTCATTTTAATGAATTATGATTTTAAACATAATTCATGTTAATGAATTATATTTTTCATCACTATCCAAGAATCTCAATTGACGTTATGGATGTCAATATGACAATGAAAAACCACATTTCTGAAATCACTTTGATGTCATCTTTTATTATGTAAAATTCAAATCATCATTAAATACATTAATAAAACAGCTACCGAACAATTAATACTCATTATTTACCTCCCGGACTTCCACAGAAACATTTCAAAATTTCAAAATACGGCTGCACGTTTATTCACGAAATAATAAAAGTACTCACATATAACTGACACTCTGAAAGAAGTACACTCGATACATGTGACATACAGAATTATTTAGAAAATACTAATTATTGTTTTCAATTATATTGCAGATTATGCTCGGTATATTTATAATCGTAACCTGCGTTTCATTAAAAATCTCCTTCTGAAGCATCTTAAATCACACAACTAAAAGAACAGACCTTTTTTCTGCACAACGCTTTTGCCTTTCACAATCAGATCCAATAAGCCCATTGATTTAAAACATCTTTAAAATCACATATTGACTGAATCTTTTAGACTCTTTAAGTATATGCTAAGAAATGACATGAAAATGTAAGACCTAAAGAAAGAAAAAGTAAAGTAAGATAAAATCGATGTGATGAAGTGAAAGGGAGAAAAGTAAAATCAGATAATGAAATGAAAATAGGAATGGACAAGATAAGATGTAGAAAAAGAAAAGAAAAAAAAATTAAATTGAAAGATGAAAAGATAAAAATGGAAAAATAAGATTAAATGAAAAGAAAAGAAGAAATATACAGGAAAAGAAAAAAACGAAGGAAACTGATATGATCAAGGCTTTGCTGCTTATCCCACCTAAGATAATTGTCCCTTCCCACTGTTTGAACTAAACACAGTCGTTATGAAATGAAGTATTGCTGTACATCTTTTCCCCCTGTTGGAAATATGTATCTGTTTTTGTTGTATGTATTTTTAGTTGTTCTGTTGTTTTTCAATTTCCTAAGAAAGACAGTGAACAGCCAAGTGTTACCGTTTCACAAGTCTGCATCCCATCATAAGATATTTGAGCAGTTATGTGAAGTCAATGTCAACCATCTTGTGGACATCAAATTTCTAAATGCTGTTCAGTACCGGTATATGGCTTCTGGAAACAACTTTCAAAAGCTACTCTTGTTGATTTAGACCAGTGTTCCGCAAACTTTTTACTTCACAGCTTATTTACGATTCCAGGCACCAAGCTGTGGCCCAGCAGCCCAGCCGTGCCAACGACCAACATACCAAATCCTGGCAAGAACTTTTGATCATGAAGCCTTCAAGACGTATATACAATATTTTGACATCATCATCTGTTCTCTCAGTGATAAAATTTCATTGTATACAAATTTAATATTATTTTATTAAATAAATAATACTGTACATTTGTGTTCCCTGCCCCCCCCACCCCCCACCGAACAATTGTTGATTGTTGTTTTTTTCTACCATTATTCAACCAAACACGATTCAGCCACACACGTAATAGCTTTCTCCTTCTTCCAAAAACTTTTACGCACACTCTGTTACTCCGCAACTTTGAAAGACTACCTTACTATACAGGTATTATGTTTAGTAATAAAGTATCCACATACACATTCGGTTATCAAGAAATGTGGTGTTGTTTACTGTAGTGATCTTTCTTGGTCAGGTCTTACATTTATTTTTATCTTTAGCTCATTACTCATCCCATCATTCCTCCATACCAAATTTACTTGATCTTACAGGGTTAATACTAAACATAGTGTCTAGCTCCTGAGGGGGCATAGACACAAAAACCGCTTATAACTCAAATAGCACTCATCATCTGGCACTTTAGCAGCGTATGCAAGCAACGCATTCGCTGTAATAGTGAAGCGGCTTTATTAAAAACTATTTTCTCCATGATGAAACGTCTCTGTTATTTTTTTTAAATTTCCAGACGGCTTCGCAGCCCTCCAAAAATGTTCCAAATTTGGGCTGCGGACCATAGTTTGTGGAACGTCGATTTAGACAAGGTACAAATACAATTCTGCGTATGTTAAACCTAATCAAACTTCAATACTTGATTATTTCATATTTAGATATTTTTCCTCTGCCCTCTTTTTATATTCATCACAATCATCTAATAACATTCATATTTTGTGGTCCTTCTCTGATCACAATACATCAGTGAAACCACACTGTGCTTAAATTAAGTGGAACATTAAACTGTCCAAATGATAAAAACATATCTTTCAATACTGCGGGTCAAAACCTAACTTTTGTTACCGAATAATCTTAAAATTATATAAATAAAAACATGGAGGACACATTATTATTATTATTATTATTGTCTAAGAGTACTGAATTTTAAAGATAAAAGGCTGTTTGTACCTGAGCAAGTTGTATTGGCAGACCCATGTGGACTGCTTGGCCCATATATTATAATTCCATTGACTTTTCTTGCGTGGCGAGCATAATACGTAACAGACATATTCAGCATTAGGTTGCAGATTGTGTATGTATCTTCATCCGTTAGGTCCACCTCAGTGAATGAACTGTGAAGCATATCTTTGAAGTAAACTTTTCTGGCAACGATTGGTCCACTGCCAAGATCCTTGCTTGCCAGCCAGGTGATATTTAAGGTAAGCGTGGTTGCTGTCCTTTTGACCACTCTGGGTTGTTTTCCAAGGTACGGCAACGCTATAATAGTAAACAATTTAGCATAATCAACTATATATCAATCAATAAATCAAACAACAAATCGGTAAAGCCATCATTTAATCAATATTTGATGAAATAATCAATCAATCAACGCGCCATTCTACAGTTGTACAAAACATTGGTGTTTCCTTGAACTGTGCATTCCAACTTCTGAGGTTCTTAGTGTGGTCAACTTTACCAACAAGATCGAGTTTAGTGGGGTGGAATTGAGGCTCAACACGTTACCAACAAGATCGAGTTGAGTGGGGTGAAATTAAGGCTTAATCAACACGTTGATATTTATACTTGCATGTCTACGTAGTTTTAATTTGAACCTACAAAATTATGATTGGTTACATGAAAAAATAACTGTCGGTGGATAATAATTTTTCGTAATTGAACAAACGATTTGATTTGCAACAGCAGCAACAACAATAACTATTATTATTATTTTTGTATGTACACGTCACACTTGGAAATTTGGGCTGGGTCCCCGGGGACCTGCGGAAGCCGTAGTTCGGCAACACGATTTAACTACAACATCAAACGAATACAGATTGAGCCAGTTATCGAAAGTAGGTCCTGGCGTTCAAAAGGCAGGAACCATAACAATTAGCCAAACGCTCAAGCAGCTCAGCCAAATGCTCAGCTGAGACTCCCCTCTAAATATAATGGCAGATAATGTAAATTAATTGATAACAATATTATTAAGGTGATCACACTAATTCGACCGATGGTAGGCTGACACTAACAATGTGACGACCCCACGGACTGTCTGTGAAACGACTGTCGAGCTGCGGTCTCCATGAGTTTGCGCCACGTATTGTGTACAACTGTGTCGTAATTATGTAGGCTGGATTCTGTATGATTCATTTTCAACATACTATAGGCATAAATCTTTTAATGAATTCAGATCACTTTATTCGTTAATAGTTTGAAACTGTTTACCAATGCTACAGTTTGAACCAGTCCATGCAGGATCACAACCGTGGGAACAACTGCCATCCCGTCCGCAATGAGTTGATTTCTTACAATGGCACTGGAATCCACATTTATCTCCAAATAAGCCAGATTGACAGTCTAGATTGATATATTTTATAAATAAATTTAAAATGGTTAATTGCCTAATTTCCCCAATAGGTGCCAACACATTTATAGCATAACTTGAGATTTGTAGAATACATATTATTTTACAAATGTAATGAAACAATGTTCATTTGTATTCACTGGTCGTAATACATATTGTACAAACGTAATGAAACAATGTTCATTTTTATTCATTGATCGTTTTTTATTTATCAATTCATTATTTTCTTAACTCTATTTCCACTTTGCTGTGGGAAACAATGGATGGATCTTTGAAGAGATATAAATTTTATAAGCAACAACTACAATGTATATATATTTAATAAACTAAATTAAGTTAACGTTGTATCAGTATTAACAGATAGTGCTCGATATTAAGCTGTAGAGTTTTGCATATTTATATATTCCACAATGGTTTCTTGTGGCTTGGTTTTATGTTTTTTTCTCTCTTTTGTTGCAAAACCACCACATTTATTCATTAATGTCATATTTGAAATATCATTAAAATCATAATTGAACTTATACATTTACAATTGATATATGCCCTAAAGAAATTTACTTTTTTCGTGGTTTTCATTATTTTTAAAACATTAAAATTAATGAAAATTTAAAGAAATATACTATAATATTATTTTATTAAACCATATAAAATGACAATCAAATAAATTTATCACGAATATTTTGGTCATACCTGCGAACTTATACACATCTAGATGTGTATAAGAGACAGACACGTTACCAACAAGATCGAGTTGAGTGGGGTGAAATTAAGGCTTAATCAACACGTTGATATTTATACTTGCATGACCAACGTCTCTTACAAGGCTTTTATATTGGATAAATCGAGAGGTTTCACTCAGGCCGGAGTAACAAGACTCAATGATTCAGTTCGAACCTATGTGTGGGCTATTCTCGGAGCACAGGCAACAACGCGTACGTCGATTCTTGCTCGAGGAACGGGACTCGACGCGCAAAAACAGTTTTTAGTCAACGTGGAGGATGCGATAAACAGTCCGGTAGACATTCCAGACTCGATAGCGAGGTATCAAGACGTCTTGCGATTTGCGAGATCCCAAGTCAACTATGTCCTCGGATACAATCTCTACATGTGTCCGGCCGATATGGAACTGAGAATCACCACGACAACCGACTACAACAATAAAATCTTAATTGCAGAGCGAAATTTACACCAATTAGGATTAAACGACATTAACGAACCCATAACAAAACCCATCGAATCACTAGTGATTCCCATCAAACCAACACCGACTCCGATGTCGAGACCGACACCAACTACGATGCCGAATACAATACCTGCAGCACCGCCTGCGGCGTCGGTTACGACGCTTCAAGAGAAATCTACGATTCCAACACCAGCCACCGCTCCCGCTGATCTTAGCAAGACTCCAACACTCACTGAGCCTCCAAAGCTCTCCGAGCACGAATTCAACAAAGTTTCGATGGTGTTTGGTTTTGCAGTCGTTACTTTTTTCGTTTACGAGCTGATGAGGGTTTGGAGTTAGTTTTCACACACGCTACCAGATAATTGTAAACGATACCGGCAACGGCCAGAATCAACAACCAAACACGGTCGGCTACAAAGCCAACGACGTTACCGACTGTTTTAAGTAGAAAGCTTACAACAGCTCCGATAATTCCGGGTAACGCCAAAAGAGCCTTATCACCGAGCTTTTTCAGGATTTCGGCAAAGTTTTTCAGGTATTTTTTAAGCCATCCATCAGGTTTCCCAGGATCCGGTGTCGGGTTAGGAGTCGGTTCAGGATCCGGAGTCGGTTCAGGGCCTGGAGGAGGAGGAGAAGTCGAGTTTCCGCCGGTAAATGTCGTAATCAACGACGCAATGATCGAACCTATAGCCGTGGTAATACTAACGATAGTTATCCCTTGTTCACGAAACAAAATCCTTAATCTTGATCTCAGTCGTAAATCACCGCCCAACATTCTACCAATGGTACCTTGTATCGCCCTGACTTGATTCTTTGCCCTACCCGTATTAGTTTCTACAATTTGCAATATACCATCCCTTTCTATTTGTAAGTTTTGTATCTGATCTTCGAGTTGTTCCAGCTCTTCAGACGGTAAGTTTTGTTCCTGCATCTCACGCCATTCTTGTTTGTACTCTGATATTTTTTCGTTAATCTTTCTGAGTTTTGCCAGAGAAAGCGCGAGTTCCTCTTTGACCGTAGTCATTGCATCCATAACACCCTCGATTTCTCTAGCTTGGATATCTGTTTGAACACCTTGACTCGTAGATTGAATCATTGACTCGTCTAGATCGCTTTCGAGGTGTTCTATCAACAGAGTCGTATCTGTTGGATTTAAATCATCCAATTCAATCTCTTCCACTTGTTCGTATACGCTTTTAAGAGCTTGTCTCGAACCGCTAGCTCGACTACCCGAACTATAATCCCCGGCAATGTATTCTTTAATTTCTGCGGCGCTTATTCTAGTCGTCGAGAGTTTACGAAATCTTGCCGCGTCTTTTGACCAGGTTAACAATACTTTTTCGTTGTTGTTATTTATAAAAAACAATTCGTCTTGGTTCAATGCGTTTGTCCTGATTATAAATCTAGATTTGTCGGTCAGTTTAACCTCGTTATATCCTTCTTCCATAAGAAATTGTCTGTACGATTGCAGCCTCATGTTTAGTCTCACAAGATAGTCTTGATATCCGACAAGGGCGGCTTCTCTGTAGGCGATTCCGAAACCTTGACCGTTGTCATAGTCCCAATCGAGATTCGTTTCTTTTTCGTCATCAAAATCATCATCATCATCACGACCTTCGGCAAAATCGTGCATAGGTATATCTGTCATTTTATTATAGAGTGCAAACAATTAACAGATTAAAAAAAGTTGTTTATTATAAAAATGTATCACGAAATAAGTGCCAATAGATCGGTAAAAACCAAAAATACCGACCATAGAAACGATAAACGCGTCTTTACCACAGTCATGAACCAGATAAACGAAGCTGGGCCCGGCGATGTTTTGCGAGTTAGGTTTCCAGATCTCAGCGACGACGACGCTATAGTTCCGGGTACAGCTCGACTCGCCTTTAATCTAATTCTAACCTCGAGCGGAGACGTAAATCGAACAATCGTCAACAATATCGGTAGATCACTCGTCGAGAAAATACGTATAACTCTGGAAGGAAAGGAAGTTTTTACCCTCTCCGATTTTGACGTGTACAATTGTTACAAGGACTTGTGGAAGACAGATCACGTACGTCTCAATAGTTCGTATCAAGGCATCTCTAGCGAAAACGAACGAAAAATACGTGTAAACGCTGGTGACAAGGTAGTAGCTGCAACAAACGATATTCCCTATGCCCCTTACGACGCGGCCGTTGGTAATGCATACGGTAACAGATTTTGCATCCCTCTCGAATTGAGTTACTGACCGATCACATGCCCTTCAACCAAAAGATGTTACACGATCGACTCGAGTACGAAATAACGTTTAGAAACGCAAAGGACGTGCTCAAGACTAGCGACACTGCTGCAACCTTTAAATTGGAGGGAATCGTCGACACCTCAACAAATCTGTTTGGATTCTTACCCAAAAGTACAATTCTATTCTCAAAGATTTTAGAGAACAGGTTCGATGGGTCGCGCTCTTTTTCTGCAAAGACAGAGACAGTTTTTACGATTGTCTACGAGAGAATGATGTGATAAAAGATGTAGACGAGAAAAAATGCATCAAAGACAAGATTGACACGACGTGTTTTAGCAAGTTGTTGTTGAAATGTGATAGACCGACTCGTTGGGGGATTCACATTGGATAAATATATTTTATATTTATTAAAATGACTGATATAACGCACGAGATGCAAGCGCATGCAGAGCGAGCCAAGAGCAAGATCGAACTAAAGACTGACCCGCCTGCGCAAGCGCCTGCGAAAACAAAGCGTAAACCCAAAAAGAGCGTGTCAAACCCCCCAAAGACGGTCGAGTCGACTGCGTCAACTGAGCAATCGCTTACACCCGAGCAAGCTCAAGACATTTCCAACGAGCTAAAAGACCGAATAAAGTCTGTCGTGAGCGGAGGTAACGCGCAATACTACTTTGGACAAGAATATACCGTAGAGCAAATCGAGTATATGTCCGAGTCGGAAATTTCCAAGTTGTACGCAATGCTAGAATCTAAAAAGGGTAGTGACGTGACAAAATCACTCGGTAGTAGCGTGATTCACATGTACGCCAAGACTATTGGTTATATACTTCCAATCGATTCGACCGAGCAACTTGGTAACGATCTCGAAAACGATCGGTTCTTGATGGAAGCATTGAATCCCGTTTTGGAGCGTGGCTCGCACCGATTTCGGTCGCGATGCACACGGCAAGACACGTGAAATATGAACGATCGAGCAGTAAGCAAGAGGTTTTAAACGCAACCCAAGATCCCGAGAAATCTACGATTACTGTCTTGCCAGAGTAATTTTACTGAGTAATTACTGAGTAATTACTGAGTAAAAAAATTACCAACATTTAATAAATGGACGAAACGATTACGCAAGTCACGAAAAAAAATCCCAAGCGAGTTGCGGCTGGTAAAGCAATTGCCGAGAAACGACGACAAGCCTCGGACACATCGAGTGTTTATAACGTAACGTTTTCGAGTTGTATTCCATATCTAACGCTTGTCGCGTTGGGGTATCTAGTCTACAATGCATTTACAAAGCCAAGTGTATCCACTCTGGTTAGGACGGCAACGTCGGTAAAGCCGGCATCGCTTGTAAAAACGGTTACGTCAGCAACACCGGTAAAACCAGCAAAGCCAGCAAAGCCGGCAACGCAAGATCCGTTTGAAATGTAATTAAAAATTCTCTTTTTTAAAAAAAGTATGAGTGGCATCGATACAAACGTAATTGTAAACAGCTTGTACGGCGGAGCGGTTGTGTCTACGTTGACGGTTGGTTACGTAATGATACTGAAAAAGGTGATGGGAAGCAAAGCACCGCTCATAGACAAGCTGAC